AGCCTAAGTAGAGTATCTATCAATTACAGCATGATACTGGTAGTATATACATATATAGCATAATGCTATTGCAACCGATGTGTTCTTTTAGTTTGTTAATATTTCACCAAGAAGCTCCATCCTTGTATATATTTTGTTATTTTATCTGTATAAACCTGTTTTTGTGTGTATTATTTTGGGGCCTTTTATTTGTAATTGTATTTTGGCGGGTGCCGTTGGACCTGTTGGATGTCACTTCTGTGTTGGTGCTAATTCTCCTCAAGAGTGATACACTATGCTGAGAGAGGTTGCTGTGGGAACCAAAAGTTGCTGTACTAATTGAATGTGTGTTGTACACAGAATAAATTCCCGTCCAACTGACATTCCATGACAAAAGGCGAACAACAACGCAGAGGTCAAATTAAAGAAGCGTCAGGGCGCAGACCGGCTATCACTATTATATAGATTGTTAGATACTGGTTATTACTGGTTGATACTGGTAAGTAAACTGGTGATTCTGGGCAGCTTTCAGATGTAAGAATATAATAAGTGAAGAAGAACGATGCAGAAAATAAACCAAGCAGGTTTAAACATGAATCAGTAATATTGAATCTATTAACAGTTTACCTCTTTACAGCAGACGGTGTCGACCTTTAAAATGCAATGAAGCGATCATTGAGCGATCGCTCTGAAGGAAAACAGCTGGGTCCAGATCCAGGACCAGATTAGGTCCAGGTTCAGGTTCAGGTTCAGGGTTCAGGATCCAGGACCAGATTCAGGTCCAGATCCAGGTCAGGTTAGGTCAGGTCCCACAGAGTGCGTTTAGAGGGAGGGACTCCCTCCTCTCTGTCCTCACACTGACTCATGTGCTGAAACTCAATCCACATCAGCTCACACACACGTTTGATCTGAGAGGAAAACACAAAATCATTCAGTTTTTATTGTTGTATAATCCTGATTGATATTACAGTTTCATGATATTTGACAGACAGGCAGATGTTTGCTTTATTAAATCTGTAACAGTAACTAAAGCTGTCTGAGTGACCGAGAGCTCCTCTGAGACATAGAAAGTAACAGAAATACTCGAGTACAAATACTAACCAGTTGTAAAGACTGAAGGGCAGAAGTCTACTGGAGTAAAATGTATATGAAGCCATGGGTCATGTTGCTTCTGGATTTATCAGTGGAACTGAATGAAACTGGAGGCTGGTGTCAGGTTTCAACTGCTAAAAAACATCCGCGTTACAGACAGACAGAGTCTCCTCTTAAAGAAATGTCTGTCTGCACAGTCTCATGTGCTCAGCTGCGTCTCTACAAAGAGCTCCAGAAAATATTACTATTATTATTTGAAAGGAAATCTCTTTGATTTGATTATTGATCAGATCTGGAGTGCAGATAAAGTAGCAGCCCAGTTCCTGCTCATTTACTGACCGCAGTTACACTTTTATTGATTTCATTAAAACAATAAAGCCTTTAACCCCTTTATTGCTGTTTCTAGTGGAAATAAACTAACGAACAGCTTGTGCTTGTGTTAACGAGGAAAACATTAAACACTTGTTCCATTACCTTCAGCTGGAGGTTGAGACGGAGAAAACCAACTGCGACACTCCTTCAGAGAAAGTGAAAGTAAACTTTAATCAGGAAACACCCAGAGAGGGAGGGGTGTGAGAGGGGAGGTATTACACTTTTATTTAGTTTCTGTCATAAATTTAAAGCGACGTGACAATAAAAATCACTGTGACTCTGTTTCAGCATGTTGAATTAAAAACGACATTGTGATCCTATCATATGTATATTGCATTGTGGGGATACAAACCGAGCCTTCAGCCATCCTGACAGGATCAGGATTTTGGAGGAATGGAAAGATGTGGGCTCCCCCTTGTCCTCTTGTCAATACAGGACTGTATGCTGGAGAGAGAGACAGCTTTATAAAGAATACTTTTACTTTTATCTGTGGGCCTGTATTGATTCTGATTCTGCTCCTCTTTTGTGGCTAATGTTAAGAGATAATGTGGAAATACTACTCTAATAATCTCTAATCTAATCTACATACAATCGTGGTCCTACACATCAGTGTTATAACACAGATGGACAGACATCAGCTGTAAATGATGTTGCAGATGATCTTACAGATAGCATATAAAGCATAATAAAGTATGTAAACAGAGGAAAACAGTCTCCATTCGTTCTTTATCTCATTTTCCCCTCTGGAAGTGAACCCTAGAGGGCGCCATCATGCTTTACTTTCTATCCGGGCATCCAGGAGGAGGGACTGTAAAAATAAAAACATTCACACTCTTTTAGAAACAGTAGTGGGGCTAGTTTGTGATTACTGTACAGCTCTGGTTGAAGATTTATTCATGCATCATTTTAGAGAAACTCCCATCAGGGACTTTTGACTTCTTCAGCCCTCCAACAGGCCACCGTGGAACACAAAAACTCCCAACTTCCATCCCTCTGCTCTGGCCCTTTATGCTCGTTTACTTCTACACTGTAGTATTACTGTGCAAAAGTCAAACTGCAGGTATGTGTGTGGCACTATGTGACCTCCGCAATATTTGCTCTGAGTTGTGCTGAGTCAGACAGAAACCGAATCAGAGACACTTCAACATGCTTTATATCCATTTTTTATTCATTCCCATGATGCTTTCTTTGAACCGGTTTACAGCTTTAAAGGTGAGAGCGGAGGGAGGGAAGGTGGCGGTAATGTGACCTCTGACCTCAGCAGCTGTTCATTTACACAGCTGACATCTTTGTAAACAGATCAGGAACAAAAGTTCGTACGGTCACTGCCGTCATGTTTCTACTCAAAGTACAATTTCACAAGTGAGTGACTTGTTTCCTCGACACAATATCAACATCTACCGAGTGTCAAGATATTCTCGGGTTCAGGCCCCGAACTGCTGCTGTAGTTCGGGCTCGGACAGACTTGTATTTTTTATTTTTTTAAATATATATAATATTTTTTATTCATAATGCATTCACACAATGTACCTTATGATAAATGATTTATTTATTGAAAGGAGAATGTCAGGTTCAGGTCAGGCCCAAAACTGCCCATAAACTGCGTCTGTGGTTCGGGCTCGGACAAAAAGGTCAGGCATTATTTTTGGGACCATTAAAACTCTAGCAGTAACTATGTTGTTCACAAAACTACAGCCAGTGGTCCGTTCTGGGCTACTGTAGAAACATGGCGAACATATATACACACACACGTATACATATATGTACAGACGTGGACTTTACTTATTTTTCTGACGACTTTTACTTTTACTTTCTACATTTTTACACAAATATCTGAACTTTCAACAGATTAAAAACTGGCTCGTTACTTTAGTTTTAATGCATTTGAGGTGAATTTGAATTGATTGTTATTATTATTTTGAATCATTCCACACCACGGACACCTTTGTGTATTTATACTTCCTAAACTTCTGTCTTGTCTTATTCTGGTTCTTGATTTACCGCTACTACAGCAGTATATGTTGTGTACATGTACTGCAAATTGTTGGTTGAGTCAAAGTAAACATGGTCCACATTAAACATCAGTCCGACTCATCAGCATACTTTGACCCTTTGGTCAATAACCCCCTACACACACACACACACACACACACACATACAGACATACAGACAGACTGAGAGAGAGAGAGAGAGACAGACTGAAGAGGAACTCTGCTGGATCTGGTTCTGAGGTTCTGCTTGGAGTTCTGGATCATGGTGGAACCAACGTGTAAACCAGCTGCTGTTCTCCTGCTGTTCCTCCTGCACAGCTGCCTGTCAGAGCACGGTACCTCCACTGCTTTATATTACTGCTGGCACACGTAGTAGCTGTAGTTGTAGTAGTCAGAAAGTACGAGCAAAAGTAGTAATACTGGTAGTAAGTAGTATTTGTAGTACAGTAGTGACCGTGGTTGTATAAAGCAGTATTAATCTATGTTTAATTGTACAACTGTATTTGCAGTTTAAAGTACTTTACAGCTGCGGAGGTCAGATAAAGACACATGTACATGGAGAGGTCAGATTATTAGGTTTTAATGTTTAATGTTTTGTTAAAAATGTTCAGAGAGGTGATTCTTATATTTACTTCACCCTCACTGCTGTTAACAGGGTGGACAAAATAGTAGAAACACATCTTAAAACGACATTAAACAGTCCTGGTAAATAATGACTGGAATGTTTGAATTACACCACAAAACACAGAATATTTCTGCAATATATACAGTCATATTATTCACCACTGCTCTTTACTCTCTGTGCTGAGAGAAAATAAGAAAGGCCTGGATCAGGAAAGATCAGGAAAGATCCAATGGTAGCTGAGTTTATGTGAAATGTTAGTTAGCCCCGCCCACTCAGAGTACAGACAATGTAGTTAATTAAACAGATACAGATAATAGTGCACTTGCTTATATCTAATTCTGGTCCATCTGTAGTTTTCCTCAGCAGTCAGCGGGCCTCGCAGGTGTTGGTCAGGAGCCGTCGGGCCAATCAGCTGTTTGAGGAGGTGAAACCAGGTAACTCATGCAGAAGAACTCAGTTTAATCAGTGCTGTGTTATTGTTGTGTTTTATTTCTGAACATTTATTCTCAAGGGATTATTTTCTATCAGTCAGTAAACTGACTCAGTGACATATTTTATAGATATTTTATATCATAATCAAAACTTTACATTGAACCCAAACAGTGAACTGAGGAACTGCAGGAAGTTTGTGTAAAACCAGAATTTTTGAGCATATTATTTCCTGTTTAGGGAACTTTTTATACAATTCTCTCTGTATTATGTAGTTTTTATTAATTTTTAACAAGCATAAAGACTTTATTGACCAATTCAGTGTTTTCCCGGACACTTTGAACTCAAATCAATTCATTATTTAATTTTCTGAACAGACGTGCACTTATATTAGTGTCATTGTACATCTACACAATATAAATCCTAACATCTAAATTAGAGGAATCAAACATTAATTGTAAAAGCAACTAAGTGGAACTTGGTGATATAATTCCAGTTTGTTCCAGTGACTCATTTTATTTAAATTTACTTTATATCATTATAAAAATGAATTGGCTACCATTTTGATAATTGATTAAGTAATGTCATAATTTGCCTTAGTAGAAGAAAACTGAGAAAACCTGAGTGGAAACATTTGTATGAAGAAGATGCACGAATAAGTTATTTTATTCAGATAAATTCTGTATCTGTAATACACTTTTAAGTACAGTTACCTTAATTAACCTAATAAATAAGTTGCTTGTACTCAAATCTAATATTTGTCACTAGGGGTCGCCTCAACATCTCAGCATTTGGGTTCATTTGAAGTCTTTATGCTTGTTAAAAATCCAGAATACAGACAGAATTGTATAAGATGGCTAACGGGTAAAATTATTCGTAAATTACTGAATAGAAATACATAAAGGTGGCATTAGGAATCAATACATTGTTATATTGAGACACTGAACTTAAGCCGATCACTGATCATTAAATTAATTCCTTTCACTGCACTACATTCATTTTAAAGCTTCAGTTACTTAGATACTGATTATTAACAAATAATAAACCATGTCTTACTGTATATTAATCTATCTAAACGCGGGGCTCTTGTTGTTGTTGTTGTTGTTTCATATTATTTCATATTATTTCATACTAGGGAATCTGGAGAGAGAGTGTGTCGAGGAAATCTGTGACCACGAAGAAGCCAGAGAGGTGTTCGAACAGACGGACAAAACAGTACGACTCTTTTCTGATAACATTCACTCTACTGTAGTTACTGTAGTATCTGTAGTTACTTTAGTTATTGTAGTTACTCTAGTTACTCTAGTTACTGATGTAGTGTACAATCTAACCAGAAACTCTCTCCTCTCTGTTCAGGAAAAATTCTGGACGAAATACCTCGGTGAGTCCTGCTACTGCGAGAAACGGACATATTGATTGTAAAACCAATCCAATATATTTAGATATAAAATAAATAAGTATATAAATATAAGTTAAAGAGGACGACAGTCAGGTGGTCACTGGTTGTTTAAGTTTCTGAATTCAAACATTTGGAGATAAAAGTTGAATTTGTGGTTTAATCACATTTGTGCTGAACTGCGAACATGAACAAAGTCCACAACAGATCACACACACACAACCCAGAGTACACAAACCCCTAACTACCTGTCTGTCTGTCTGTCTGTCTGTCTGTCTGTCTGTCTTTCAGACTGTGAAGGAACTCAGAAGATAAGAACACAAACAGGACATCAACATTGTCAGACAATGTATGAAGGTAAATCACTAAATATGCACAAAAAGTAAGCACAGACAAAGAAGAGTACACTGACTGTGTGTCGTTTGTGTCGTGTGTGCGTGTGTGTGTCTGTGTGTGTGTGTGTGTGTGTGTGTGTGTGTCGTGTGTCTGTGTGTGTGTGTGTCTGTGTGTTGTGTGTGTGTGCGTGCCTGTGTGTGGCGTGTGTCTGTGTTGTCTGTGTGTGTGTGTGGTTGTGTGTCTGTTGTGTGTGTGTGTGTGTCTGTGTGTGCTGTGGTGTGTGTGTGTGGTCCTTGTGGGTGTGTGTTCTGTGTGTGTGTCTGTGGTGCGTGCGTGTCTGTGTGTGTGTGTGTGTGGTGTGTGTGTGTCTGTTGTGTGGTGTTCTGTGTGTAGGTCAGTGTTATTTCGGTAACAGGAGTGAACTATGGAAGGAACATCAACATCACAGGAATCAGGCCGACAGTGTCAGAACTGGAAATCACATGTTTCCCACATCCCATAATAAGGTAGCTTGGTAGAGCGTGCCAATTAATGACCCATTAACGTAATAACAGACTGTGATCTCTAAATGAGTTATCACTGTCTGTCTGTCTGTCTGTCTGTCTGTCTGTAGGGAATTTATGCTTAAACGGGAACAGACCAACATGCACAAGAATTCTGTCAACCCCGACAACCGTTCGAGTGGACCTGGTGTTTCCCAAAGACCCAACATCCGAGAGCTGCGATCGCCCGGCTCAATGTGGTGAGTACCCTGCGAGTACTCAGTCCTCCAGGTACAGACTCAGTCCTCCAGGTACAGACTCAGTCCTACAGGTACGTTAACACGTTCTCCCTCTTCCTCTCTGAAGGTCAAGACTTTGTCGCGCCCACTTTGGCCCCTGAACCAACCAAATCTGGCGTCTGTTTACCAAACTATGGCGTAGACTACATCGGGGAGCTGGCCGCTACCCTCGGAGGCCACACCTGCCTGCAGTGGTCGCACCCGGAGGCGAAGGCCCTCAGCCTCGACAAGGAGTTCATCCCCGAGGTCAGTCTGGACGGCAACAAGTGCCGTAACCCCGACAGTGACCCCGAGGGCCCCTGGTGCTACGTGGAGGTTGCTGGAAACGTGACGGTGGACTACTGTGACCTCGAGCTGTGTGGTAAATACTGCGAGCGTGTACCAGTACTACTGCAGAATATCACCCTGGTTATTATACCTGTCTGTGTGTCCACCTGTCTGTCTGCCAGAGGACCCGTTGCTCGGTGAGGAGACGACGTCAGAGACAGAAGGCAGGGAGCGATCCGTGGTGGGGCCCAAAAAGAAAATATTTTTCTCTCCTCGTACCTTCGGAGAAGGAGAGAGCGGTGAGTCTAAACCAGGAGAGACTGGTTGGTTACCTGGTTCAATGACCGGTTTATTGTGGTCCTTTAACTGCTGCTTTAAGTTAACTGGTTCACGGATTCCTTAATAAACCTGTTAAACGAGTGCGTTTGCTGGTTGGTTAACTGGTTTTACCGGCTGGTTGTGTGGCAGAGTGCGGAGTGCGCCCCCTGTTTGAGAAGATGAACAGAGCGGACACCAAGGAGGCGGAGCTGTTGGAATCGTACAGAGACAAACGCATCGTCGGGGGCGATGATGCGGAGGTGGCCTCGGCACCATGGTAACCACACTTGAAGCAATAAGCCGTCACCATGGCAACCACACTATATAGTCAGTGTATATGATGAGTAGAGGGTTACAGAAGTACAAACGTTACCTCTGAGCTGCAGTAAGGAAATTAAAACCCTCTCCTGTATGAGCTGAATGTGTTGTTGTTGTTGTTGTTGTTGTTGTTGTTGTTGTTTGCAGGCAGGTGATGCTGTACAAACGCAGCCCACAGGAGCTGCTGTGTGGAGCCAGTCTGATCAGTGATCAATGGATCCTCACTGCGGCTCACTGCATCCTCTACCCGCCCTGGAACAAGAACTTCACCAGCAACGACATACTGGTCCGCCTGGGCAAACACAACAGGGCCAAGTAAGACTTCCTGTCCGCACGCTCTCAGGCCTTTCTCTGGAAGAAGACTGATGACAGTGTTATTCAAACTTCACAGGTTCGAGCGCGCCACCGAGAAGATCGTAGCGATCGACGATATCATCGTCCACCCGAAGTACAACTGGAAGGAAAATCTGAACCGCGACATCGCTCTGCTGCACCTGAGACGGCCGGTCACCTTCACCGATCAGATCCACCCCGTCTGCCTGCCCACCAAGAAGGTCGCCATGACGTAAGAGCCGCAGCAAAACCCTCCGTTAGATCTGTGGTTCTGAATCTCGGGTTCTGAATGGGCCGGTTTTCTCTTCCCGACAGGCTGATGAGCGAAGGCTTTAAGGGCCGTGTTACCGGTTGGGGGAACCTGAAGGAGACCTGGAACCCATCAGCGAGAAATTTACCCACAGTCCTTCAGCAGATCCAGCTGCCAATCGTGGATCAGGACATCTGCCGCAGCTCCACATCAGTCCGGATCACAGACAACATGTTCTGTGCTGGTAACACCTCTGCTGTTCAACAGTGGTTCTGTTTGACCTTTACTGTCCTACTCACCCTCCTCTAGCGCCACCTGGAGGTCTGAACTATAGTTCTCATTATTATTATTATTAGTTTGTCTGTTGGTTTATGACCAAATATCTGCTAAACTCACATCAGCCTCAGACAGCAGTGGAATGTAACCAAGTACATTTAAGTACTTTACTTGTTGAGATACTTAATACTTCTACTCCACTACATTTTGGAGGCAAATATTGTACTGTACACTCTGCTTAAGTTACTTTTCAGATTCAATTGATAATAATCAATAATTATAATACAACATATATATTATTCTGAAATGAGTACTTTTACTTTTAGTACTTTAAGTACACTGTAGTTACTTTTACTGTGCTATCGTGCTAGTGCCGAGGTTAACGAGCTGGTTTGTGTGACGCAGGTTTTAAACCAGAAGATGCCAAACGTGGAGACGCCTGTGAGGGAGACAGCGGTGGACCGTTTGTGATGAAGGTGACCATCATCTTACGGACTTTAACTCTCCTATTGATCCTTTACAACCAGTTCTAAAGACTTAATAACAGCTGATAATGTTGTTGTTGTAAATAGTTACAAGATATATTTCCACAGATACAGCAGATCAATATAAATCTTTAAATTTAAAGACAATAACTTCATTGATCAGCTTTAAGACCTTCAGCCTGGTTTCATGTTCCCTGTGCAGTACCCGGTGGAGAACCGCTGGTACCAGATGGGCATCGTGTCGTGGGGCGAAGGCTGCGACCGGGACGGAAAGTACGGCTTCTACACTCACCTGTTCAGGATGACCAGGTGGATGAGGAAGGTTATCGACAAGGCGGGAAATGACGACGACGACTAGCTGCGTTTCCTGTTCGGCCCGTCGCGGCGAGATGATGCTAATAAAGTCTGTTCACATCCTTCCAGGCTGAGTTTGTGATGAATTAAAGAGTCATCAATGTTGAACACAACAGCTTTTATATACACAAAGCACAGTTACAAAATCTCCATGGCAACACAAACATTGAGCAGCACTCCCATTGGACAGCGTCTGACACCGAGCAGTGCAGAACTTCACCCACAAAAACATGAAAATAACAGTTTATTTTTAACATTTTACACAAGAGTCTGAAAAACAAACAAATGTGGACGCCGATCCACAACCAAACCCCCAGAAAGTGTTTGAATTCTACATATTCTGCTGTGAAATGAAACCCAGCTCCTGCAGCTGAATTTATGACACAGGTAAACTTTTACACACAGCGTGAATGTGCTTCTAGTGACTGCTCACTGTGTTAGCGCTGTTAGCACCGTCAGCAGCAGAGTTTGGGGGTTAAGTTAGACTTTAAACTTTTACTGTGGGGAAGCAGCTGTGAGCAGATTCTTTTCCTCATTGATTACTTTATGATCAAATGATAGAAAATACGGATTATAATATAAAATTAATGATTTATTAAAATATACGCTGGACTAATTATTAATCGATTCAGTAAATAGTGAGAAATGTTGTACAAAATACTGTTACAGAGGACTAAAGAAAGAAGGATTTGGAAATGTTTTATTAAAATGAAGAATTATTTAAAAGATCTGCTGATTACCGACTAACAGTTAAACCGATATAAACATAAACATCATATCAGCCACTCGCCGCTCAACACCACAATCCAAAGACGACGATCATTATTTCCACCTGATGGATGAAATTGATCAGCAGGATCAGAACATGCACCGGGATGAGAAGGAGTTTAAAGGACATCAGGCGTCATCGGCCGTCTCCTCGGCCGCCGCCGGCTCGTGGTCGGCGGCGCGGTGCGTCAGCAGGTGTCTGTTCAGGTGAGTTTTGCGGGTGTAGCTCTTGGGACAGTAAACGCAGGCGTACGGACGGACGCTGCTGTGGGACAACATGTGCTTCTTCAGGTCGAACTTCCTCCGCAGACATTTACCGCATTCTGGACACGAGAAGGGTTTCTCTCCTGGACATTTAAACATTAAAAAGGTTTTATGTCAGATTAAAGCTAAAAACGGTATCTTAATTACCCGTTCCATGCTCTCATTGGCACACCTGTACCTGAACTGGCGCCCTGTGTCTCACCTGTGTGTATCCTCCGGTGCTCAGTCAGGTGACAGGAGATGGAGAAGGCTTTGCCGCAGTCCTGGCAGACGTACGGCCGCTCCCCCGTGTGAGTCCTCATGTGTTTCTGCAGGTCTCCTCCGGACGGCCAGCCCTTGCCGCACACCGTGCACACGTACGGGCGCTCTCCGGTGTGCCGCCGCACGTGCACGTTGAGGCCGGCGAGCGCGGTAAAGTCTTTGGGGCAGTAGGGACAGCGGTAGGGCCGCTCCCCGGTGTGCGTGCGCAGGTGGCCCTCCAGCCCGTCGCGGGTCTTGAAGCGCTTGCCGCACTGCGGGCACAGGAAGCGGCTCTCGGCGGTGTGGCTGGCCCGGTGCGAGTGGAGGCCGGTCAGGGAGCCGTACGTCTTGCTGCACTGGTCGCACTGGTATGAGCGGAACGTGTGCGTGCGCTGGTGGATGCGGAGCTGGGTCACTCCTGGAGAGTGGGGTTAAATATGAGAGGCAGAAACAACTCATAAACTCCACTTACTGACTGTTCTGGAGCTTTCAGCTGTATTCAGTATAAAGTATTTCTTACAGACTACTTTTACTTGTGACCAACTGTCTGTCTGTCTGTCCTGTGCTTGTTTTAAACATATTAGACAGAAAATCACAACATGTGTTGATTCTGATCAATGTGATTCATGTTGCTGTGACTCTTCCGATCCACCAGACTCCTTTGATAAAAACTGTGATTTTACCTCACAGAACAGTTTCCTGCTCCGCTGCCTGCAGGTGTGTGTTTGTGTTCTGGGAGGTAAAATGGAGTCTGGTGGATTTGGAGAGATAGAACAGCTTCAGTTCCCCGTCAGGAAGCTGTCTGACTGATGAGCAACAGATAAATCCTTCAGGCGAGATCTCAGGTGAACCCTCGTCCCTCAGCTCCAGCTCAGACTTCCCCTCACTACCTGGTGTTCTACCTGCAGGAAGTTACCTGAGAAGGTCTGGTCACAGAAGCGGCAGTTGTAGCATGGCTCCGCCCCCTCCACGGAGTGAGTCTGCAGGTGTCGCAGCAGCTGCGTCTGAGAGCTGAACGTCTGGTCGCACACGGTGCAGGTGAGGTCCGGCAGCCGGTGCTGCAGCCGGTGGGCGTCTCTCTCCTTGGCCGACTCGAACACCTTGTCACACCTGCTGCAGGTGAACCCTCCTTTGTCCAGGTGGGTCTGCTTGTGATTGGTCAGGCTGGACAGGTGGTGGAACTCCTTGTCGCACTGGCCGCACTGGTAGACGGGCCGCGCCCGGTGGCTGCGCTGGTGCGACAGCAGCTCGGCTTTGGTTCTGAAGATGGCGTTGCACTGGAAGCAGGAGTGCGTCCTGGAGGGGCGGGGCTCTGGGAGGAGGGGCTCCGGGGGGCGGGGCTCCTCCTCCTGAAGCTGCAGATTCAAGGCTCCCGGTCGCCGTCAGGGCCGACCCGCAGGACTTGTTGGTGCGCAGTGGCGGATCACCCTGGAGAACAGCAGGGGGAGAAAGATCTCCAACGCTGTGTCAGACTGACACATCCGTTCTGCTGTCGGAGTCGCACTGACCTGAGAAACGCGTAGATGAAACATTTCCACACCTGAGGACACTTGGTGAGCCAAACCCTGAAGAATTAGGGGAAATGCTGTACAGAGCGTCTGGCTGTGACCGTCAGCAGCAGGACCTGATCTGATTGGTCGACTGGGGAAGAGAGGACGGGAGTAAGAGAAGCAGCCATTTCAGCAGCGTCTGTGTGTGTGTGTGGTGTGTGTGTTCGTGTGTGTGTGTGTGTTGTATGTGTGTGTGTGTGTGTTGTGTGTGTGTGTCTGTGTGTGTGTCTCCTGTGTGTGTGTGTCGTGTGTGTGTGTCGTGGTGTGTGTGTGTGTGTACCTGCGTCTTCTGATTGGTCGGCAAAGTTTCCAGGTGAGTCCTTCAACCTGACAGGAAACAAGGTGAAGGTGAGCAGTTGGACGCAGCTGCTGCGTGGACCAACAGAGGAGGAAGTGTCTCACCTGTCCTCTCCGATGATCACGGGCGCGCAGTCGTCGTCGCCCGGCGCTGAACTCTCATTGGACGTCTCCTGCTCCACCGGCGACGCGGCCCGGCCAATCACGGCCTCCTCCACGTCCTCCTGCTCGTCCTCCGTCATCACCACCACCTCCACCTTCACCAGCTCCACGTCCAGCTGGAGGACGGGATCTGATTGGACCTCTGTGTCGGCGGGAGGCGGCTCCGGATTGGTCAGTTTGGTGAAGAGGGGGTGGGACCAGGCTGAGAGGAGGAGCTTCTCTGTGTCCTGACTCACTGAGGGAAACAATTAGTGTCACATAATCAATAAATAACAACAATAAATAACCTGCTTCTAATCCTGTACCTGTGGTGGTTGCTCGCCCCAGTAGACAGCTCTGATTGGCCAGCAGCTCCCTCACGTCCTCCCTGTCCGCCTCCTGCAGGCAGTCCTCCAGACCAGCGGGGGCAGCGTCCAGCCAGCACGCAGCCTGAGGATTGTTGACAGCGTTATTTAATGTCATTAAATCCATGTTAATCATTTCCTCATGCGCTGCCCGACCTCTGCAGCACCTGAAGGAAAGGTACTCACCTGTTTGAAGTCGGGGACGGGGAACAGCTGCTCGATCCTGGACAGGAAGTCAGACACCAGCGACTGGAGGGCGGAGTCGAAACTGTGGTCGAAGACTTCCTGCGACAGACAGAAAAACAACGTCTATAAGAGGACTGAACGCCGCCGCCGCCGCCACCCGCCGTCGTGCCACACACTGACCTGCAGGAGGCGCCGTCTGTCCGCCGGACTCGCTGTCAGTTTATCGGTCAGCGTCGACAGAGCGGAGCAGCATCCTGCGACCTCCTCGTCCGACTGCTGAGGACACAAACAACCTCGAGTTTACTGACACATAACGGAGCTCTTCATCATCAATTCATCTGCAGGATATTTATTAATCAATAGACATTAATAGAAATAGCCACGGCGTCTGGTTGTTTCTGAGCTGAATATTCTCCCAGCATGCTCTCTGGTTCTCACAGCTGTTGGTTGATAATCAATCAATAAATGATTTTGATTGATTCTGATTTTTAAGAAACTTTTGGGATTAAAGAGTTGTATGTCCTTAATGTTTATGCAGAGACTCCATTCAGAAAACAAGCATTTTAAGAGCTGTTTGCTCATCGCGACGTCATTTTGATCCGTTTATTGTCATTAAATCAGTGAAATCGGATTATTTAAGGCGATTAAAGGGCGAGTATGTGCTTCACTTTTGGTGGGAACGCACTATAAAGAGTCCTCCGCCTCACCGTTGCCTCGGAGACAGACAGACAGACAGAGTGGATTTTGTCCAGGCTGGCGGCCTGTGGGTCACAGAGGGTCACCTGGAACAAGAGCACAGTGAAGGTGTCACTCTGAGGTTTGAATATTTGAATATTGAATAATACAGATTAATATCTGGAGGCTGTTCAATGATAAAACTCTCACTTTGGCTCTGAGCGCCAGCAGCAGCAGACTCCTCTGCCTGTCCGTCAGCAGCTGCGGGACGGCCTCCGTTACCAGGGAAACAAAGTCCTCCAGCATCCCATAATGCCGCACGCTCTGCTGGCGTGCAACCTGCCACATCGCCGCCGTCAGCAGGCGGAGGGGAGGGACGAGGAGGCGCAGCGAGGAGAGGGGGGGGGCGGAGGCTGTGGAGGCACATTAATGAACATTAACGCTGTTATTAGAGACACCTGTGCAAAGGCTGCTGGGTAATAACACCTGGGAAAGCTTCATCCAGTCTGCAGCTAAAATCAATAAAAGTGTTGTCACAGCAGGTAAAGGTGCAACTACTGCCACACCTTAGTGAGTCACACCACCTGCTACCACCAATACATGAACTATTAATCCGCTGGTCTGTGAATACAATCGGCACGTTAATAAATGCTTTATGTTCACAATTTAAGGTTAATTCATTACAACAAGACCTCTAAATCAGCATAAGGTCCAGCTGTCAATGTGGTTAACACAGGATTTAGATCATTATTTTATAAAGCTGTCAGCCAAACTCCATTAAAGAAACTCACAATTTAAGGTTGTGTTGTTTATGAGCAACTTATATATTTTCTAAATAAATGAACACAGTCCAATAAAACTCCTCTTTGTATTATTCTTATTATAATGATTATTTTAAGATGTGAGCATTGAGTTGTTCTCTGGATATAAAGATAAAGTGTGTCTTACATTAAATAAACAGTCCTAAATATCCAGTTATTAGGCTCAAACAACCCGACGTTATTAACAGTTTTAATTGTATTTTTCACTCAAATAACAACAGTTTGGTTTATTGCTGAGAGCCGAATTAAACTGCAACTCCCGCTGACTCATGTTATTGATGAATATGTGTTATATTAATCAATAACTCTTCCATAAGTCAAACTACTCTAAAAGTGACAGTTTTTTGGCTGGAGTTTGGTTCGTATCGGTTCACTAACAACCACACAAGCTAACGGTTGCTACCCTGTTATCAGACAGGTTCGATATCAGTATTGATCACATGCAGTGATTGATTGATAGACGTCAGCGCGTGCGTACCCATCCTTCTTCTTCTGCTTCGTTTCAACTCTGCAGTCCGGTTAGCTGGGTGAGCTAACAGTTAGCTGTTTACAGTCCGGCTGACAAACAGCTCCGCCTCCGCGCCGGAAACACACCAAACACTTCCGGTCGCGCGTGCACGTGAGAGCAGGTTAAAGTGGCTTAAGATAAAATAAGATATTCCTTTAATAGTCCCACAGTGAGGAAACTCCAAAGTTACAGCAATATAATATAATATAATATAATATAATATAATATAATATAACATAATAACAATAATA